GCTTGATACAAGAGTAGGTTATAGTCTGTTTACGCATTCTGTTAGGTTATCATTCACTACTAAACAGAAACCTTTAGACTGAACTTAAAATATGTAAGGAGGAAGCTTTAGGCTAATTTTAATTTAACAAAAGTTAGAAGGTTGAACCCTGAAAGACTTTAATGGAAATTGGATGTTAATGCCTGACCACAGTGCCTCCATAAAAAGCTTTGCTGTCGCTGCAGACAAATGTGCACAGTGAAGTAAGGAGCAGCCTTTGTTCTTGCTGCTGTTGTTTATTTTGTTTTTATTTTCCATAGGTCATTGGGGTATAGGTGGTATCTGGTTACATGAATCAGTTCTTTACTGGTGATTTGTGAGATTTTGGTGTACCCATCACCCAAGCAATATACAGTGCACCCTATTTATATTCTTTTTATCCCTTGCCCCCTTCCCACAAGTCCATTCTATCATTCTTATGCCTTCACATCCTCATAGCTTAGCTCCCACATATCAGTCAGAATGTATGATGTTTGGAACATTTTTAATGGAAAAAAAAAGAATTATAAACAGAACTAAACAGGTAAAAATATTTGTTTGATTTCATGCTATACAAATCACACTGGATCACACATGCTTATGATGACCATCTGATAATAAACTTTTATGGCTAAGAAATCTGTTAAAATTTGCAGGTACCTATTGTCTAGTATACATTCAGATCCTATCATGTCATTCCCCATCTTAAACTTTCAAATAACTTTATCCTTTGGATAAAGTTTATACTCATACTCCTTAGCAGTGAGAATAGTCCTGCATGATCTAGTATCTGCTGTTTTCTTCAGGGACTTTCCTGTTGTGCAATGTTCTATTGTGACTTTGTGTCTTTTCATTTGATGTACATACTACATAGAATTCTTTTTTGTATCAAATCTAACTATGGCTATCTTCCTGTGAGACTTGGGCTGCATTTGTACTGTTTATACTGTGTGTCAGTTATGCCCTTCATCTCACATCGTTGCAGATTGGGGAAGGTGGTACAGGATAGAATAGCCCACGTGCAACTCCAAAGACATGTGTAGGCAGAGGAAAGCTTTAGAGAACATTTAATACCTGCTTCCTTTTGGTTGTCCCTTTCCAGGAAGCCAAAGAGATGGCAGGAAAAACTGAGCCTCAGAAGGAAACTGCACCCTGCCCCCTCCTTCTTTTCTCAGTACAGACGGACTACAAGAGTCTCTGCTCATCTCCAAATGGCTGGCATGGTCCTTGTTCCTGTTTCCAACTATCTACTCAAAAAGGCATTTTCCCAGGGATAGGCAGAAAAGCCCTCAAAGCACATTTGCATGCCAGGGTCTGGCCCTCAACAATTACTTATGGTTGGGCTGGCCTCTATGAGGATTCAGAGTGGAAGCAAATACTACCCTTCCCTTCCCTATGGCAGCTTTTCTGTTTTCTGTTGCTGTGAGATCAGGTGGTAGGATGAGGTTCAGGCAGTGAGTCCTTTCCTAGTAGGCCTTTTTAATACTCCACTCAGTTTCCACAGCAATTTGTTCTAGTCATTTAGCAGAAATATATTCGGCATCTCATACATGCCAGGCACAGTCCTGGTGCTGATGACACTGTGATGGTCAATACCTGCCATCAAGTTCAAACTGAACAGGCATAGTCAAAAAACTTTGAACCAGTGCCAAATTTCCAGTGTGGGGAGGTGTTTCCAATCCTTCACACAGCATAAAGTACTTTTTCCTTCCTTTATAGTTCCCATGTGTAACTGTGCAAAACACTCTTAGACATGGTAGATACATTAGTAGGTGCAGTAGATACATCACTATTTAGTGCAAATACCAATTTCATGAGACAAGTATTAATATACCTAATTTAAAGACAGGAAACAGGCCTGGAAACAGGAGATCAGGTAACTTACGTACAACATGAAACATGGCTGATGATCTCTCCACTACTCAGGGTTGCCCAGTCTATGAACCTATGAATAAGGAAAGAATTGATAAAGATAAATTTGATGAAGTTGTTGTAAATAATAGTGTGGTATATTTTAAATGTATAGTTATATACGTATATTTATGCATATGCAATATACTAAGTATAGATGTACATATACTTAGGCACACACAATATACAGTACCTGAATGCATATATAAGTATGTGTGAGTGTGCATATGCATGTGTCTTCAATTAAATTAAGTAATTGCAGGAGAAAACCAAATTCAAAACTGTGCTTACAATTTATTTAATAACAAATGATGATGAAAGCACCATAATGATTTATGGGATACAACCTGACTTATATTTAGGGAAAAACTTTACACTGCTTAGTCAATACAAGAAGCAAGAAAAATAAGATAATAAATATAAGTAAAATAAATAAATAAATAATAAAAGTAAAATAAAAAATTGAAATAAATTATTAGTTTCTTTGAAACAATCAACTAGACAGATCTTTGGAAAGAAGGATATGTCTTTCAGGAGAAACAAACATAAGTAGTGGTAAACACATAACATTAGGGATTAGAATCAAGAAAAAAAGAAGTGGAGACAAGTAAAAATAAAATAATAATTTGTGTAATTATTCATAACCATGGAGACATTGATACTTTGAGAATAGTAACTTACTGAAACAGATTCGACATTTAAAGAACTTGAATTAGACATCAAATACAAGGACTTATAAAGCTACTTTTTTTTGTTTTGGTCTAATTCAATTCTGATATCAAAAACAGAACAGCTTGTTCTTCTTCCGACCATATTAAGATCTTGCTGTTAGTTGTATGTAACTATTAACAGTTGCTATTGTAATATACATCTATATTCTGATGTATAGCTTTATTTAGTTATTTTTTATGTCTCTGTCTCATGCACACACATGCATACATATATGCTGCTACATTCCTGTCCAGGACATCTCACACTGAAACTGCCCCACCATATCCTTGCTAGATCTTGCTATTACTGTTCCTTTCCTCTACTTCTGAAATGGTTCTTTCTTTTCTACTTCCTGCTTCTCAGTTTCTTGGAAGACTTAAACCTTAATATATACTCTAGGTGAGAACCTCAACCCAGAAACACTTTCAGAAATGCTCTCCACCACCTCTAGACAGAATTCTATGTTCTAATTTCTAGACTCACGTCCCCCTCCATCCCTTACCTCCTTCCTCTGCCAAAATGAAAGTCGTAACAAAGTCCTGCAGCTTTGCTGCTCTGCGCTGGAATTTCCTCTCTCTTAGCCAAGACTAGCACAGAGTAGATGGGGAAGGGATGCCCTAACTTCTCCTACTAGGACTCCTGGGAGCTGTCAGCTTTGCCTTCCAAAAACTAAAAACAATCTGGAATAGAGGAAACAGGAGGTGTCAGCTCCATCATAAGAGGTCCAATAGGAGACTTTCAAGGTGGAGCAGGGTATCTACCCATGGCCTAGGCTGTACTCCTAGCCTCCTCCTTCTACCCCTAGCAGGTTCTTCTGCTGACTGACATCCCATTACCACATGCAGCTATTTCTTCCCCTTCAAAGCCTTCAAGCCCAAGATTACACAAAACTTATTGAGGGTGTGGCTCATACTTCCTCAGAAAGGGTAAGAAAAGAAAATTAATTAGGGGTCTCTGAGGAAGCAGGTTGTATGACATGCAATATGGTCAGTCTCTGGTCTCTTTCCAGAAAATCAGGCCTGATTCATACTACCACTTTAATTCCTCCTTAGTCCTACTTCTTCAGTGCGTATATCTCTGTCCCTGTTCCCCAAAGAGTTCTCAGTTCTATCTTCTCCTTTTATGCTATCCTCCCCTAGAGTATAGATGGGCACCATCCTCAGTCAGCCACTCATCTTGTTGTCCTGGTCTATATTGGATTCAGGGTGGAGGGCTGGGGTCTGCAGCTACAGCTGTGGAATTTGTCCAAGACAAAGCCTCACCTGGACACACCTGTCTCAGAGCAAACAAACAAACAAACAAAACACACTTAAGACACCTGTAAAGGAAAGCTTTACAGAATTCTACAAATTGGAAGTAGGCCTTGGAAGTAGACTAATCTGTCTCCTATGCCTTGGAAGTACACTGATCTGTCTTCAAAAGCCCTCTGTCCAGCCTTCCCGGAATGAACACAACCCCCACCCCCAGCTACCCTGACTGGCAGGGTTCTTGACAGTCAATCATAGTTACAAATTGCACCTAACACATGAAAATAATCTCCCCATTAATTGTATTAACTTCACAGATATTCCAGAGCAGTACAACCAACTCGACCTTCAGCTCCTTAAAGGTGGAGACTTTCAGAATTTTAACCATGGCCTGGGCTCAGACATTGGCAAGAGCATTCTGGAGTATCTGTCCTAACAGTGAAGATAAAATATAATTTGGAACTGAGCTTCAGTCGGAAGATTTCCTGGTTATTTTCTATGTGGATAGGAGGTGCCTTCACTTGCTTATTAAGTAAAGACCTAAGTGTCAGGAGAAGGACAGGGTACTGGGAGTACAATGAAAAACTCAAATCACTGTCTTAAATAATAGTTTGTGTGTGTGTGTGTGCATGTGTCTATACGTTTGGGTGAGGGAGGGATACTAGTTGTTTAACTATTTTTCTCCTTTTTTAAAGACAGTTTTTGACCAGGGTTTCCATTTCTCCATCATCTCCCGGTCTCTGTGGTCTCTTTTTAACCTCACAAGTGGATTGTGGCAATCGTGATGACAAGCTGCTTGCTGAAGTATTGAAGGCTAAGACTATGCCAGGAAAAAAGAGAGGGTTTTTTTGTTTGGTTTGTTGGTTTTCTTGCCTGGAACCATGCGAGATCGCAAATCTTGCCAGGAACAGCAGCGTCCACACCACGTGTGTGCCCAAGCCTGCGCTAAGTTGGGTCACAGAACCAGACTTGGCCAATCTCCGGCTGCTGAGTTTAACAAGGCAAACTGGCAAATGTATAGCCACCTGAGCCACAATTAATGCAGGGCCTGAGCGGCGTCATTCGGGAGCCTCAATCCTTTGACCTATCCTGGAACTAATATCTGGTACCCTCTACAGTTTAAGGGGACCTGAGTGGGTGAAGGGACCAGAAAAACCCAGGAAGTAGAGAAAAAACATTGACGAGCCGGGAAGCGGCTGAGCCCCCGTCTCATCACCAATTGGCTAGGGTTATCCAGGTCCCTGCCTGTGATTGGCTGGCCCCACAAAGACACCGCCTCCCTGGCGAAGCCGGCCCTGCAAACGGAGCCTGGAGCCGGGTGTAATATCCTAGAAGCTGCGCGCTACAGGGCCTGCGCTGCCGGGCATTGGGCTTTGGGCCTGGGGCGCTCTCTGGCAGTAGGTGCTGAGCTGCCGGGAAAGGCCGCTTCTGACGCTGGGCCACCGGACGCCGCGGTACCTGGCTTCTTCACTTTGAGTTTCCGCCGCGAAGCGCCAGTCCGGGCCGAGGAGGGAGGTGGGTAGAGAACGCTGCCTTTTCTGAAGTCAGATCCTGCAAGCTCACTGTAACCTCACCCGCCACTGCCCTGGGGACCTGCCCGGCGCCCTGTGGCCAGGCCACGAGCTTAGTATCCTCAGCTGCTCCCTGACCCCGAAGGTTACCGCCCGCCCCCGACCCGCTTCCCACTGGGTCTTCCTGGAAGTCTTGCAGGCCCTGCCCCCTCCTCAAATGTCCTTCTCAGACTGCGCTTTACCCATGGAAGGCACAGTCAAAGCAACCGTACGTTTAATTATTTGAGTTTTCTCAAAGTAATTCATGTATCATAAAAAGTCAAACATTAAAGCAGGTCGTATTTAGAAGAGCAATGATTGCCCATCCCCAGTTGGTTGCAGAGGCTGCCACTTTTAATTTTTCCACGTATAGATGTTTTTATGACCCTAAATCAAAATAATATGCTTTCCACTGGATTTCTGGATTTATCATTTTGGTATTTCTTTGCCGTGTCAATTTTTCATCGGTATTTTAGGTCTTCCATTTGTAGCTTTAAATAATAGGTATCTGATGGTGGCTCTTAATGTCTTCACTGACTTAGCTAAGGATATTAACACATCCTCCACTTTGAATCCACTGTCAGTTGGACCTCAACATTTACATTTAGTTTTCACATACAGTACTCAACAAGTATTTGAGCCACTGTCCTTGGCATTGGGGAAATAGAAATGAACAAAACAGAGAATGACCCTTTCCACATGAAAAAGTTCCACTATGGGAAGTAAGACAATAAACAAATACATGGCAAATGATGTCAAAAGCAGGATCATGTAGAAGTCACTTTCAGCTGGGAGAATAGCAGGAACCCAAGTCAGGTAGATTGAATGGACGAGGGGTTTTCGGGAATGTGTGGAAGATTAGTCCTTTGAGTAGCTGGGCACAGGTGGTGTTTCAAGGGTGAAGGGAGAGAGCTTCCTAACAGGGAGCCAGGATAGACTCTTTAGTAAGTTAGTGATTTACCAAAACGAGGTTTTAGGATACTGGATCCCACAGTTTGGTAGTGATAGTGGGAGGAAGAAAAGCAGGAGTCAGGGAGTCTAGGGAGAAGGCATGCCCTGCCAATGGCATATCACAGAGTCCTGAAAGATTTACAGCTCTGCTTCCTGCTTCCTGCCACTGGACTGCCCTAAACCACAGAGATTTCTCTCTCTCCTTTTGAATTTATATTATACTTTGAAGCTAAAGAGGTTAAGAAATTTGCCCAAGATAAAATGGCAGAGCCCCAAACCAAACATCTGTAAAATTAGAAGAACGATGGCCTCTGCCTAGGGTTGTGAAATAAACCAACTTAATTCATGTAAAATGCTGAGAACAGTGCCTGACACATCATGTAAGTGCTCAAAGAATGCTTGCTTTTATTATTAATGTATGCTTTCAATTTACCTAACAAATTATAAAAGGATTTGGGGTTTAGGAACTATTTTCTATGTCTAGCTGGTTTATTCAACAAATATTTACTCAGAAATATCTGCATTGCAGGTGCTGTTTAGGTGCTGAGGATACTACAGGAACTAGGAGCAACATGGCCCTTCCTTGTGTAGACTCTAGCTGGTAACACAAACTAGCAGAGTGAATGAATAAATATTGCCAACTAAGCCAAGAGCCTGCCATTGACCATTTAAGTTTCACACCTATATGTGGCCCTGGCAAAAATCCCAGATTTCTTGCTGGAGTAGTGACTTCATCAATATGGGTGTGATGATCATCAAGTGATCTTTGTTTTAATCTTCCAAGGGATGTTATTTCATTTCTGCTTCTAACATACCCCTGAAAGTTCAATATCTTGGCCTCTTGGTGAATAATAAGTATGTTAGCACTGGAGAAATAGACAGGGGTTTAAAAGGCACAGGGAAAGAACTGCTATTTCTTTACAATTTTTACATTTTAGTGTGCAACACAAGAAAACAAATTGAGCATGTAGGCTATGGGCTTCTGGCATACTACCTTTTGACACTATGAATTATATAAAAGTAAATATAAACATACCAGAGAGTGAGGCTGGAGATATTTATGGCCTTCAGATACTGAAATACCACATTTTATGTGACCTTACCCAAGTTTAAGAGAAACAATGCTGATTTTTAGAGCATGATTGGAGTGGTAATGGTCTAGTAGAGTGAACCCAGAGGAGAATCAGGGTTAACCAAGTGAATGAAAACAGGACTCCCAACATTCACTCACTTAGACATCCTATGATCCCCTTCATGCTATGAGTAATGTGGCCCGTTGGACCATGCATCCTTCAGTTGGAAAGGTCAATGCTTATTAAAGAAGGTCAAAAGGAAAGTGGTTTTTTTCCAGAAATTAGTTACTCCTTTTATTGATCTCTGTTCCTCTGTTATCTTTTTCTCTTATTTGTCTTTCTTTTCATCTAGTCTTTACTACCGCTGCCTGGTTTCATTCATGCTCTGAGGAGGGTGTGAGAAGGAACCATGGATCCCACAGCCTTGGTGGAAGCCATTGTGGAAGAAGTGGCCTGTCCCATCTGTATGACCTTCCTGAGGGAGCCCATGAGCATTGACTGTGGCCACAGCTTCTGCCACAGCTGTCTCTCCGGACTCTGGGAGGTCCCAGGAGAAACCCAGAACTGGGGTTACACCTGTCCTCTCTGTCGAGCTCCTGTCCAGCCAAGGAACCTGCGGCCTAATTGGCAACTGGCCAATGTTGTAGAAAAAGTCCGTCTCCTAAGGCTCCATCCAGGAATGGGGCTGAAGGGTGACCTGTGTGAGTGTCATGGAGAAGAGCTGAAGATGTTCTGCAAAGAGGATGTCCTGATAATGTGTGAGGCCTGTAGCCGGTCTCCAGAACATGAGGCCCACAGTGTTGTGCCAATGGAGGATGTCGCTTGGGAGTACAAGGTGAGAGATGGAAGCTGGCCACTCTAGTCTTCCCCCGGCCCCCAACTTGGCTATTTCTAGATCAAGGGCTTGACCACCAGCACCAAAGACTGAGAGTTGACTCCTTTGGTTCCTGACACCCACAGAGCCCTAGAATCGGATACAGGGAGCTATACCTTTCCTTGTATTCATGACCTTTCTTGATTTCTTGCCCTCCCACTTCTTCTACACCTTATCCCAGATCCTAACATGGCTCAATGCCTAATCCAAGGGTGATTTCACTACTGAGAATATGAAAAAAAAAAACTTAAATGGTTTTAACTGAGATTCTGGATACCTTGGATGAGTTTGAGGGTGAGGCTCTGATACAGATGGTCAAGGCTGTACCTGACCTGCAAAATTCTCCTAGCAATGCTGCAAATAGACATTTGGCACTGAGTTGGTCACTTGACTCATTCATTTTATAGACAAAACTGAGGCTTACAAAGTTGAAAACATGGTAATTTATTTTAGAGGTGGAAAGAACCATGGGTGAGTCACAGGATTGAGAGAGGTCATCTAATATAATCTTCTCAGGTCCCTTCTGTGTTGAAGTTCAGTTAGTGAAAGGGAGATTAGAGGCTGTGACTCAAGTCTTCTTGCTCTTTGTTCAATGTTCCTTCTCATCTCCCAAGTTTGTTTGTTTGACAAGTCATCTCTGACATACCTGGGACTCCTTTTTTGTAGGGAACCTCATCAAATCTCAGCTTCTGGGCCTCTCTTTACTGTTTCCTTAGATAAATATGCATGTGATACTTACAATCCCCTGAGGGATTATCTCAGTGATTCTGTTATCCAGTGATCCAGCACTAGTCTTTTTTTTTTTTTTTTTTTTTTGGAGTTGAAATTGGAAAGTGAGAGTACAAATCCTCTGAATTAGCTTTTCCTATATGGAAAGGATTCTATAATATGAAAAGTATTTACTAACTCTGCTTTTGAGAATATTAGAAAAGGGAGATAGTATAACATAGGGGTAAAGGGCTGGATTAAATCCCAGCTCAACCATTTATAAGCTGAATGACTTTGGGCAGGTCACTTTCTAAGCCTCAGTTTTCTTGTCTATAAAATAAGGTTAATACCAGCCTTGGGATTGTACGTATTACATGCATATTTAGAGCTTAAAATATATCTGGCACTTGATAAATTTTAACAAAATAGTTGTATTTTATGCACACTTTATGCTTTTCAGTAGAAATCCCTTGCATTACTATTCTAGGAAAGTGCTTCATGGCCCTAATATGCATATGAACCACCTGGGACATCTGGCTAAAGTTGAGATTCTCATTCAGTAGGTCTAGAGTGAGGCCAAGATTCTGCATTTCTAACATGTTCCTACATGATGTGGATGCCACTGATCCACTTGAACCATATTTAGAGTAACAAGGTTCTAGCAGACAATAAGATAAAAATAAGTAAGATAAGGATAAAAATCAGCATGGAAAGGAAAGTCCAAGGTACTTTTCTGGAGAGGTTGGAAATCAACCCTTTTTTCCACTTTACAGACATGTAGGGACTATAGGAGTTGAAATGAGTCTCAGCCCAGAGAGTACCTTGGATGTCACCTGGGCAAATTCCGTTCCCCCACAGCCTTCACTATGGCTGGTTGACTGGAGGACTCTGGTTCTCTCCCATAGCCTGCCAATGCTAGGAAGCCTAGGCTGCTGCAGGCGGCCTCATGAGGTTTTTGTCTCTTGCAGTGGGAACTTCATGAGGCTCTTGAACATCTGAAGAAAGAGCAAGAAAAAGCCTGGAAGCTGGAAATTGGCGAGAGGAAACAAACTGCCACCTGGAAGGCAGGTTGCTCGCGGGGAAAGGAGTTCGTGTTAGTCGTCCTGGAGCTGGCCTAGGGGTAGCATTCACATCTCTGTGAGGCAGAATGTGATGCTTAAAATCAGAAAGCCTGGGGTTCTAATCCCTGCCTTCTCTGTACCAGGCCATAGGTAGGCCACATCACCTCTTAATTCCAGTTTCTTGATGGTGATATGGGGATAACCTCTGGTCTTGTACGTGTGTCAGCTCACAGTGGCATGGCTTACATCATGCTTAGTAAGTAAAGCAGAGTTTCTCTTTGACTTTCCCAAGATAGAGCATATTTGGTAAGAGTTTGGTTATTAAAATATTGGAAAATCACCTCTGAAATAAATTTGAGGCCAATAAGTATCAAAGTACTAGAACTTTTGATCAACAGAAAGTAACACCGAATGAATCTGAAACAGCACATTGAACAGCTATAATATCAACATGAAAATGAACCACCTGTTTAGTTAAGTTACACTGCCTTAAAGACTTAAATGTAACACATCTTGTCATTATTCTCAAAATGGAAAACAGTCTAGAGAATGTAGTACTAAGATAATACCCTCTACCATACTGGAATCAATGAGCTTGGCAATAGAGACCTAGATGCATGTGGTGGAGCTGGGAGAACAGGAAGCTAGGACAAATAGTATGCTTTATCTTTGCCCCTGCATAGCCTGTCATGTGGTTGGTACCACTGCAGAGTATGTGTGTAAGCATATGTCAGTATCCTCGATACTGGGTGACTGAAAGTGTCAGCACTGATTTCAATCTTGACTCCACAGATACAGGTGGAAACCCGAAAACAGAGTATTGTGTGGGAGTTTGAGAAGTATCAGCGATTACTAGAGAAAAAGCAGCCATCACGTCGGCAGCTGGAGGCAGAGGTAGCAGCAGCTCTGGCCAGCCTACAGCGGGAGGAGGAGGAGACCATGCAGAAACTGGAGCTGAACCGTAGTGAGCTTATCCAGCAGAGCCGGGTCCTGTGGAGGATGATTGCAGAGTTGAAAGAGAGATCGCAGAGGCCTGTCCGCTGGATGTTGCAGGTGAGGAGTAGGTTTTCCTGGGGACCCTGAGTGATGGCTGAAGATAGACTGAAACTCCAGGAGACAGCATCAGTTAGTCTTCAGTAGGGACTGCCAGCACTCAGCACTCTTCTAGCTGTTCGCAGATCCTGTGTTTTCCCACTTAATACATGCTATTTTCCTATCCCTGGCTGGTGGATGACCTGGTCTGTTGTAGCGTCACAGGTGGGGCAGTGCTCAGGCAGCTCTGGTGTCATTCCAGCCCCTCTCGTCTAGCCCAAGAGTCTTGAGATGGAGCCTGAAGTTGGCCAGTCCAGCCAAAGCTCGGCCTGCTCTTCCATCCTTCCCATAGGCTTCTCTTCCACCTCTGCATGGCATCTCTCCATTCTTGGTATCTGTCTCCCTTCCCTTAGAGAAACTCCCTGCCAGAGTTCAATGACTGTTCCCTCTGAGGAACAGCACATACTCAGTTGCTGCATTTTTTTTTCTCTCCTTCCAGGATATTCAGGAAGTATTAAACAGGTATGTTCTCACCTTTGGAGCCTCTAAGCAGCCCTGTAAAGGATAGTGGGGCCTGGCTAGAGCCAGAAGTAGGGATAGAGCACAGACTCAGTACACACAGAAAAGCAGGTGCTAGTCCGAAGTCTCATACCTCTTACATTGTACTGGCTAAGGAATCTTTGTTGATCTTTCCTTTTTCTTCTTTGTACTTGATCAAATGTATATCAAGTGAAGCGATAAAATATGTGGTTTCAAGTAGATTGCTCAAAGAGGAAAAAAGACTGCCCGTGACTCCTGCATGTCCAACAGAAAATGTATACACTTCTTCCTCTCCCAGAATCAAATACACATGCAGCCCTTCCCACAGCATGGACATGTGAGTGTTCTCACCTCTGCACACAAACAGTTTGAGGCTCGGCCAAATAGCCATCATGTCTCTGCTTTGCTGGGGTGGGGCACTTCACTACCTCCCTGGCCAAGCCCCTCTTCCCTGTACTAAGATAAGGCCCATAAGGCCCATGTGGCAAAGCCAGGACTCCTGGCCCTGAGATTCACCCTACTCTATCAGGAGCAAGTCTTGGAGCCTGCAGCAGCCAGAACCAATCTCCCTGGAATTGAAGACAGATTGCCGTGTGCTAGGGCTAAGAGAGATCCTAAAGACCTATGCAGGTAATGGATGCTGGGGGAGACTATACTGGGCAGTGGGAGGGACCCCACCCAGAGAAATGAAGTGGTTCATTGCCCTTTGGGTACTCTATCCAGCCTCACTTTCACTCATCATTGATAAATCTGTGGCTGCATTTATTGGAGAGACCTCACCCCTGCCCCCTAGCTTTATATCACTATTACCAACCAGGACCTCTTTTTTCTAGCTGACGTGCACCTGGATCCAGATACTGCTTACTCTCGTCTCATTGTGTCAGAAGACAGAAAATGTGTGCACTATGGAGACACCAACCAGAAACTTCCTGACAATCCTGAGAGATTTTACCGCTATAATATTGTCCTGGGCAGCCAGCGCATCTCCTCAGGCCGGCACTACTGGGAGGTGGAGGTGGGAGACAGGTCTGAGTGGGGCCTGGGAGTATGTAAGGAGAATGTAGACCGGAAGGAGGTGGTCTATTTATCCCCCCACTATGGATTCTGGGTGATAAGGCTGAGGAAGGGAAATGAGTACCGAGCAGGCACCGATGAGTACCCGCTCCTGTCCTTGCCAGTCCCTCCTCGCCGGGTGGGAATCTTTGTGGATTACGAGGCCCATGACATTTCCTTCTACAATGTGACTGACAATGGCTCCCACATCTTCACTTTTCCCCGCTTTCCCTTCCCTGGGCGCCTCCTGCCCTATTTTAGTCCTTGCTACAGCATTGGAACCAACAACACTGCTCCTCTGGCCATCTGTTCCCTGAACGGGGAGGACTAAGAGAGCTACCATCCTAAGGAGAGGGCTTGGAATTGGGGCTAGCCCCCACGGGGCTTGGAGGACCCAGCCACTGACAGATATCCCCTCAAACTGAGCTGAGCCCAGAATCCAAGGATTCCTCTGTCTGATCCTTTGGTTTCTTGCTATCAGGCTAAAGTCTGTCATGAAACCACTTATTTAAAAAAGCACAGGCCCAGTCAAATGAACATTGCACCCCATAAGGGAAGCATCAGGGCTGATGGTGAGGATCAGAGCACTTCTAAGGTGACTTGCTGGGGTAAGGATCAGGGCTTTGTCCATTTGGTAGCCCACACCCCTCTTCCCTGATTCCTGTCCCTTGTCACAGTTAAGTCATTGAAGATGATGAAGTCGATACAATCGTCAGGACATCATTAGGTAGGGTTTCCCAGTAGGCCAACAAAAAAAAAAAAATGCTGCCCATACCCAGAGCTGGTTGTTGTGCTGAGGCCGTCAGAGGATACTTCCCCTGAGGTTTACTACAACTAAGCAACCTTTATGTGACCCTCACTCTCTGACCTCCTGGTGAGAGAAATTCAGTGCAGCAGGGGACACAGACCTGCCCAGGCCACCCCACCTCCATTCCTTCTTGAGCCCAAGCTGGGCAAATCACTGTCCCTCGGACTCCCAGGAGACCAGTGTCCTAGTCCTGCTTTTTTTCTCTGAGTGGCAGGATCAGAAAACCTGTGAGCCTTAGTTTGTATTTTCACTTTATGAATGAGGAAACTGAAATGGCCTTAATGAAGCAAGTTATGTTTTACAAAGCTGTTGAAGATAAGATTATAAAAACTGTAAAGCATTTTTCACACTCAAACAAGGTTGACAAACTCACTTCTCAGATCACATGTCTCTACATCAGTTATTACATTTGAGTCTGAAACATCTCACATGTTCAGAAGGTTTTATGTGTCCTCATTGGGAAAATGAGTGTAATTCAGCATGAAACCTCATACTATAGTCCTGCCTCGTAGAGTTGTTGTGTAGATCCCAGATGCATCCCATGCATTTGTTCCTTTCTGAGACATAGAGGAAGGCAAGCTGTGGATTTTGCACGTGGTGACCTTCCCACTGTGCCATGATACAGCCTGCATCTTACAGCAGCACCTTTGTCTCAGGGCCTCTCTTGACAGTCTAGAGAGCCTTTTGGGCAGAAAGGTGCTTCAAATGGCTGTGATAAGGACTATTAAAAATTGTGTTTCTACTTTAATTGTATTGGCTGTTCATGTATGTAGAAATTAAAACAGGCCAAACTGGAGAAATAAACTCATTCTGCTCACCATGCTTCCAGGTTGCTTCTTGAGAATTAGCAGTAGAAGGGGAGGTTTCCAGCAGCTGCTTGGAGGGGAATGAGCTGGTGAGTCACAGACCCTGGTGCTGGCAAAGGGTTGAGCCTTCCTTTGTTAGGGGAGTATCTTTGTAAGGGGATTTCCTGGCAAAGGGATAATTGAGAAGTAGGTCCTTAGGAAGGACTTCAGTTATGTCTGTGGACACATGGCACAAAGGGTTAAGGGAAAATCAATGTTGTTCTTTCGCTATTAGGACAAATCTTGGAAGTTTCCTTGAAACAGAGGATTGTTAGGTGATAAATTCATTCAAACCTAGAATGAAGGAAGGAATGAAATGGTCTCATTCGTAATGTACTCTTTTTGGTTAGTTTTATTTATTTATATATTTTTTTACATTTATAAGCCTGTTTGGGCACTCTGCTTATTTGTTAGAAGAGTTGTAAGATTAAACAATGCCACATTATTACAGATTGTCTGATTTTTAAGACCAGACAAGAAAATTGAAGCTCTTAAGTGCCTGAAAACGCTTTCTACAGAGTAGTTGTTTACACTTCCCTCCTAAGAATCATGTGAAAACAAGGACCTTATTTGTCTGTTCACCATTGTAGCCCTAGCCTACTACTGTGTGTGTGTGCATGCGTATGTGTATGGGTGTGGGTGTGTGTATTAAATATTTAAGTGAGGGAACTTTCATGTGACTAGAATCAAAAATAACCTGCTTTTATCTCAAAGGAGCAGCAAAAACTAGAGGATACCTAATTATATTCCTGTTCAAATATGAATTTAATGGAAAATTTATTTTACTGTACCTTTCATAAGTGGTCTAGTAAGACAGGAGGCAGGTGGCCGTGTGGAGGTGGAGAGACTGCGCTGCTCCCTGAAATGCCTAGGGCGGCATCCCCAGTTTGGTCCAAGCATTCACTGCAAGGCAGGGAGAAGCTTTGCCTACCTTTGTTTTGTAGAGAAACTGAGGGATGCAATACCTGAGCCTTACGGGAGAAGGCTGCAAAGAGGGTAAAATGCCTGGGTACTGCAACAAAAAAAAGAGAGACATGGGGGCAGATCCTTCAGTTCAAAACTACCTACAGAAATGCAGTCTTCATTTTTTCAATCAAGATTGGTTGTAATCTCTTAAAATCTAAACATGAAGGGGCTACTGTGCATCCCAGGCACTAATTAAGAGAGTACACATTGCTTCATGTGATGGGCCAGGACCATGTCTGAATGTAAGGTGAGAAGCACAGGATTTCCCATTCAGGATAGCCATGGAAAGGAATCGGCACACTTTGGGAAGTATGTGCTTCAGTAAATATTTGAGTTCTAGCAGTGGGTTCCACCTAGCTTTAGGGAAAACCAATGAGAATGAAACACAAAGCTGGTAGGGCAAGCTTCCTGATGGAAATGCTGTGGAGAAATTACTGTTTGGGGTGCAGGCTGGACTATACCTTTGCTGCTTTACATCAGATTATTTAATACATCCAATATGCTTTCATTTAATGGACATAGCCAATTTTTCAGGTTTCTTATGGAGAAAGAATAATGTGACATTTCAAAATGAAAATCTTATCAAATGTGTTTAACAACCTTATAATCTCGTTTTTATGTTAGGGGGTTGTAGGGGAAAAAAATTCACTTTACTGCTCTTTGGGACCTCAGTGCCTCATTAACAGATTTTTAAAAGGCTGGTTTCTATGCTGCTGGTGTTCAGAAATTGAATAGGTTGTTGGCAGGTAAACAAGTCTAATATTAGCAAAAAGTATGGATGTTAAGTTACTAAGTAGCTTCTGTATTAGAAAGAGTTGTCATGTAAGTACTGGTCTGTATAAGACTACTCCCTTAAAATTATGGAATTAGAAATGTATTGGGTATATTTTTAAGTTCTTACAATGTGTCAGAGATTGTGTTACCTGCTTTCCATGTTTCATTTATTTAATCTTTAATACTCTATGAGTTAATGTTGTTTTCTCTATCAGTAGATAGAAGTGTTAAGAGTCAGATATAATAACTTGCCCAGTTTCTTTGCACTTTGAATTTTAACACTACTAGGAAATTATCTTTTTATTAAGATTTTCAAATGTACCAGAGTCAAATACATGTTTCTCTTATATGTGAGATCTTTTTCTTCTAAGATATACTGATTACTCAGTTCAAGACTTTCTGAAGGGGAAAAAGAAAACCAAAAATCATGTAAGCATCCAGTGACCTGGAGAATAGTGGTTACATTTCAACTTCTTTATCTGTATTGCTCTCTATTAACCTCTTCATCCCAGAGCATACCCCCTGAGAGGTGCCCACAAGAAGAAAGACCTGTGTATATTTGATCCCCATCTTCTATGCCTTAAGGTTGAGTTACATACACCAGGACTAGGAAGCAACAAGAAAGATTTCCAAAAGCAAACCTAGTTAGCTTCTGTTCCTTAAAAACAAAAAGCTGGTATTTGGTATACTAACTCCAACTAGCTTAACAATAGGGGATACATTTAAAAGTTTAGTGGTATTTTACAGAACATAACAATATACCTGGGTGTTCAAAGTGATTTGGAATCAGAGAACCGAAGCCTTACTCTCTTCATCCATTCTTGGCAATTGGCTTTTGTTGCATGGGCCAATTTTCTCCTTCCAGTTTATGTGTTGCAGAATTACCATCATCTCTGATCACAAGTCCATATCTCCCCAGATGCATGATAAACCATATGGCTTGGGAAGGACTCTGGTCTAGGTGTGAGCATAGGACCCAAATGGAGTGAGATCACTATTGGCCCAGAGGGCAGGGTCATGTATTAATAGCTTCATCCATATAATCACATGGAGGGAAGAACAGTTCTGAGAATATCAGTCAATTTTAGGGGGAGATACCAAATAGTTGGTTTCTTCAGCAGAGGGGATGGTGGGATATTAGGTAGGAAATATGGGTCAGAAGTTATAGAAGGAAAAATTCCAAAGTTCTATTTTCTACCAAACTTACTCTGATTCAGACACTATTGTATTACCGCATTTAAAATGTCAGAAAATTAGAAACATTTCATTCATATTCTTGGTAGAAATTTAAAAGTTGCACAAAGATACCCTTAACAGCTTCATCTTAAAATTCCTTATAGTACCAGGTAAACCAGTCCAGCTCCACAGATCTCTAAGTCATCTTTGAATTTGGCTGGAATGCTCCAGATCTGAACACATACTGTATTCGTGAACCCTGGTTGGAGTGGTCAAAGAGGAAGTGCATCAGATAACTCCATATTCCCTCCAGCAATTGTTTGGTCCTCATGCCATAGATGATGGGATTTAAGGTGGATGGGATGATCAGGTACAGGTCAGATAGAAGCACTCAGGTGTGCAAGGGCACTACATCCTGCCCCCAGCCAGGCCACATAGATGTTTGCCATTCCAGATAGATAGTACAAAGCCATAACCCCCACGTGGGAGCCACATGTGCTTAATGCTTTCAACTGAGCATTCTTTGAGGAGAGCCCAAATACTGCCCTGAGAATCAAGACATAGGAAGCAGCAATGAAGGCCACATCAGAGCCCACCATAATAGAGGAACCAATTAGACTGTAGAGACTGCTGGGCATGGGGTTTGTACACACTAACCTGGCCAAAGCTATATGCTCACAGTAGAAGTGAAGAACCACATTGGAGCCACAGAAAGGTAGATGACTCACCATCCAACTCAGTGGAGTAATGGCTATGACAGCTCTAATGGTGATGGTCACACTCATTCCCAGCATCACTTGAGGTATGAAAATTCTCTTTTAGTGCAGGGGCTTGCAGATGGCTACATAGTGGTCAAAAGCCATGGCCAGCAGCAGGCCTGTCTCCACAGCTGTGGCTAAGTGAACAAAAAACAAGCATTAAAGCTGATGGAGCTGTCTCCTGAGCAGAAGATGTTCACCATCTTGGGTACCACTGAGGAGGCCATAACCATGTCCACAGCAGCCAGAACACACAGAAAGCAATACATGGGCTCATGTAGAGCAGAATTCATCCAGATTGCAGTCACAATGAGGGTGTTTCCTACAGGGCTATGATGTACATGGTGCTTAATGAGATAGCCAGCCAAAGATGTGAAGATTGCAGTCCTGGGATACCCACAAGGATGAATGAGGCAGGGGTTTCCATTGTGTGGTTGTCGGCTGGACCCAGCATCACAGGTGAGACTTCTTCCCTCTTAATAAAATAATAATGTACAAGAAGAATGCAGTCCTGTAAGATTTGTTGATACATGTGGTCCTGGGAAAACCTAGGGATATTCTGAGCTTGGTGGTAATCTCAAGATAAAAAATGTGGCATCTGACAAAATTATCCTGTGCCACTTTCTTCATCCTTAATATCCTTGCCTTACAGATTTTTATTCATTATTCATGGATCAGCTCATGGCTTACCTCCTTCGGAAAGCCTTTTCTGCTTTCTTTCTTTCCCGTTCCATACCCTTTCTTCTGACCTTTCACGCAATCCATCATGACCTCAGAGAGACTAAACTAATCATTGTAATGATCTCCCTGGACTTTATCATATGCTCTTAGGTGTATGTCTCTTGTTTGTGATCTTATACCAAGGATATAATCCATAATTGTGGTCACAAGTCTACTAAAAGAAGTCTATTAATGTATATTTATTACAGTAAATTTGCCACAGAATCAAGGATAAGCAGAGAAATGAATCTGTCTTTCATCTCTGTATGCTGTTACTAATTGTATAAACAAAAACTTCCTAGGTCAAACATATCATATTTTTTATGCTTGATAACAGCATCTATAAAAAATATGAAGGAAGTGTCCTTGTGAAGAAATACATGAATGAGTTGGGAAACATTATGTCATTAGAGAACAACATAGTCACCTTCCATAAGAGATAATAAACTATCTGGAAATCTTACCTTATCTAAACTTTGTTTTGAATATCCTGTTCACTTAGGTTCAAGTAATAAATTAAATTACTACAAAGAAAACCTTGGGGCTACCTTATAGATAAACTTTCCCCCATAAGCTTTTATGATTTTTCAATCAGCTAACTCCTTTTTCCTGATAAACTACCTAAACATTCCAGGCAACAAGAAAGCTTTATCTTTTAGAATGTTAAGTACTTTATTATGAACATAGTATTGCTAGTGCTGTGTTAGTGTAGTATTCATAATCTGAGTATATTTCTCCATTTGTAAAACAGGACAAATATCCCTTCCAACCAATATAGTTTGTATAACTTAATGCAGTTACATTAATATTTTATACAAGATCATGTATCAAGTGTGTGATAAATTTGAGGTTCAAATCCAGTCTTTCCAGCTGTGACTCCCAGGTGTCCATCCAGCCCAATATGGATAGTCAAGAAAACTATGAGTCCTGACAAAACAACACTATAGGCTTCACTCGGCCAGGTCTGATAAGACAAAGAGAACTACCGCTGTGCACAGGCAGCAGCTGAGCTCTACCACTTGTTGATCTCTGTTTATTGCTGCATTCACTACCCATTGCTGCTTTCAGGTGTTACCATATCATATCATGTGTAATAATCTGGCTAGAGAACCTGAAATACAAGTAGTCAGCCTAAACTACCATTACATTCTGTGTGACAGCCCTTTAATTACGTTCTCCTTAGGATGATTGGTTTCCATGATTTCATATGGTATCTGGTCATGGGCACATTTTCCCAGCCATGTGAGAATACTCCTTGCAAGGGGCACTGCATCTTATAATGGTAACATTCAGCTTTGGGAGACATTGGTTGATCTTCATGGATCCCCTAGGTTTTGTTCCTCAGAATACAGCATACAAATCCTGCATACTTTCATGTACCACACTCAAAATGTGATACTGATCCTACATCATCAAGAGGCAGGATAGCAAAGAGGAAAATGTGCTGTTCTAGATTCATACCCCTAGACTTAAAAATCCACTCTGTCAACCTGGCGCAGTGGCTGACGCCTGTAATCCCAGCACTTTGGGAGGCCAAGGTGGGGAATCATGGAGCCAGGAGTTCGAGACCAGCCTGGCCAACATGGTGAAACCCCATCTCTACTGAAAATACACAAAATTAGTTGGG